TACTCTCACTCTTAGCACTCTCAAGGTACCTGACTCAAATGCTCACTTCATCACACACACACACAATCACTCAGCATTGTACGAGTGCCTGGAATTAATGCCCCTCACCAAAGCACGTGTATATATCACTATGCCAGCACTCACTGTTGGCATGTTAGACTCCGGAGGGACGGATCTTACCCAAGTGCTAATCAAAGCCAATATGGCATGTTGCGACATGCAACCCGATCCAAATAATAATAAAGCCAATATAGCCTGTTACGGCATGAAACCCAATCCAAATAACTCTATCAACACAGCTCTAAGGCCCACCTCAGTCATCAACCTCTCAAGTCTTAAGGGCTTACAGTCTCATATCACTCAGCCCAAACACTATTACATATGGAAAACAATGACAACATGATGTAATAATGAATAAAGTACAAAGATTGATATATGATATGCAAATAAAGAATCAAGTCTGGTTGTATAACTACAATTAAGACATATAGCTCAAAACAACAGAAATAGCCCAATTATCAACCAATTAATCACATAGCCTAAATATGATTTCTAACATGAACCATAGCTCAGATAATCAACCATGTAGGGAAAACACGAATATAACAAGGCGTGATAGCAAAGCAAGTCCGGTAATAGTCTAAAGTCTACTCGGATCATGAATACTCCGGTGCACGCACAAACGCCCGTCACTTAGCATGTGCGTCACCCCAACACATCACAAATAAAATAGTGCCCGAGGATAATTACCCTCAAATACAAGTTTAGAAATATTACTTACCTAAAAACGTGCAAATCAATACTCCAAAAAGCCCTTCCCACGCAAATCGGCCTCCGAACGACTGAAATCTAGTCACACACAATTTAATATCATCAAATAATTCCGCAGGAAACAACTTCAAATAATAAAGCTTCGATCTTTATCAAAATCAACAAGTCAACCCAAAATGTCAATCCCAGGACCGCACCCCGGAACTCGATTAAACTTATAAATTCCGGACACCCATTGAATTACGAGTTCAACCATACAAATTTCATCCAATTCCGACCTCAAATCAACCTTCAAATCATCAATTTTTACTTTTGGAATGTTTTTACTAAAATCCCCCATTTCATCACTTTATTTCACCAATTAAATGCTAAAACAAAGATGGAATCATGAATAATGAACAAATCCGAGTCAAAAGTACTTACCACAATCCAAATCGAGAAAATACCCTCCAAAATTGCCCAAACCGAGCTCTCTAACTCAAAATGAGATATAATAACCAAACCCTCGAAATAGAGATGTTAAAAAGTCTACCCATGTGTATACATCGCGATAGCGGAAATAGCTTCGCGATCGCGAAGAACAAAATGCCTAGGTTCCAAAACCCTCCTATGGGAACGTGACATGAAAGACGTGAATGCGATGACCAAATGTACAATAGCTACGCAGTCGTGGACCAGACCAGGTGATTGCAATAAACAAACGCGTGCCATCCTCAGCCTTCCCTTCCTTCTATGCGAACATGGCTCCCTGCTCGCGTTCGCGATGCACAACCTTTATCAAGCTTCTCGAACGTGTCCCTATTTTTGCTAATGCAAAGTACAAAACCCACCTGCCACCATAAAGCACTATGTGATCGCATCTTCCTCTTCGCAACCGCGAAGAACAAAACCAGACATCAGATACCAGCTATGCCAAAACATAGAGAAATGGTCTGAAACCCATCCAAAACACACCCGAGGCCCCCAGGACCCTATCCAATCACACCACCCAATCCTAAAACATAACACAAACATACTCGAAGCCTCAAACCACACAAAACAATATCATAACTACGAATCGCCCCTCAATTCAAGCCTAATGAACTAATGGACCTTGAACAACCGAACCATATCAAATCAACTCTGAATGATCTCAAATTTTGCATGCAAGTCCCAAATGAAACAACGGACCTATTCCAACTCCCGGAACCAAAATGCGAGCCTGATATCAACAAAGTCAACTCTCAGTAAAATCTATCACCTTCCAAATCTTCAACTTTTCAACTTTCACCCAAAATCACCAAATCAACCTACGGACCTCCAAATCCAAATCCGGACATACGCCTAAGACAAAAATCACCATATGAAGCTTTTGGTTTTATCAAAATACCATTCTAGAGTCGTCTACACAAAATTCAAATTACGATCAACTCATTTATTTTCAGATTCCAACCTTGGGACTAAGTATCCTAATTCACTACAAGACCTTCCCAAAACCAATCCAACCACCCCGGCAAGTCACATAACCACAAATGAACATTGAATAGGCAATAATTTGGGAACATGAATACAATATACAAAACAACCACCGGGTCATTACATTCTCCCCCTCTTAAGCAAACGTTCATCCTAGAATGGGTCTAGAGTCATACCCGGAGTCTAAACAAAGTGAGGATATCTGCTCCGCATCTCCTGCTCGGTCTTCCAAGTAGTCTCATCAATCCGCTGACCCCTCAAATACACCTTTATCAAAGCTATATTATTCGACCTCAGCTTTTACCGGTCCAAAATAGCCACCGACTCCACATCATAGGTCAAATCTACATCTAGTTGTACCGTACTGAAGCCCAAAACATGTGACGGATCACCATTATACTTCTAGAGTATAGACACATGAAATATTAGGTGAAAACCCGATAAACTAGGTGGCAAGACAAGTCTGTAGGCCACCTCCCCAACTCTCTTAAGAACCTCAAAAGTGCCAATATACCTAGGACTCAACTTCTCCTTCTTCTCGAATCTCATCACACCCTTCATGGGCGAAACTCTGAGAAAAAACTTCTCACCCACCATATATGCAACATCACGAACCTTCTTGTCTGCATAACTCTTCTTCCTGGACTGAGCTGTACGAAGCCGCTCCTGAATCACCTTCACCTTCTCCAAGGAATCACGGTCCAAATCAGTACCCAACAACCTAGCCTCCAAGGCTCAAACAACCAACCTGAGAACGACATCTCCTCCCATATAAGGCCTCATAAGAAGCCATCTAGATACTCGATTGAAAGTTGTTGTTGTAGGAGAACTTTTTATAATGGATGAAACTAATCTCATGAACCTCCGAAATCAACAATACAGGCACATAGCATGTCCTCCAAGACTTGAATAGTGCGCTTGGATTGCCTGTCCGCCTAGGGATGAAATGCTATACTCAGCTCTATCCGTTTACCTAACTTTCATTGCACCACTCTCCAAAAATGCGATGTGAACTGAGTTCCTCGATCCTAGATAATAGATACCGGCACATCATGAAGACGAACAATCTCACGAATGTAAATCTGATCCAGCTGCTCTGAAGAGTAGGTAGTCGCAACTGGAATGAAGTGTGTAGACTTGGTCTGTCCGTCCAGAATAACCCATACTGCATTAAATTTCCTCAAGGTCTGTGGAAGTCAAACTACAAAATCCATCATGATATGCTCCCATTTCCACTCCGGAATATCAAGCCACTAAAGCAAACCACCGGATCTCTGATGCTTGTACTTTACCTGCTAACATTTCAAACTAGAATACAAAACGATACAAAATATCCTCATTCCTTTTATCGAACATAATGATGCGAATCAAGCTTTAATGAGTTCTAATATGCAACGTCAAACGGTTCCTCTTTCTCGCTCCAAAAAATGCATTGTTGGAACTGGTTTAGAACGACAAGCAGCTCTAGATTCAGGGGTTCTTGCTATAGCCGAACGCGAGGGAAGGGTCGTTTATACCAATACTGACAAGATTGTTTTAGCAGGTAATGGAGATATTCTAAGTATTCCATTAGTTATATATACGTTCCAATAAAAATACTTGTATGCATCAAAAACTCTCAAGTTCCTCGGGGTATAATATGTACTGCATATGAACATATCTAAGCATTTATTAATATAACTGAAATGAGTAGACTTGTCGTCTTTGTATAAAAGCTTACATCCACAGCATATTTCTGCAATAATTTACCAACTATCCTGTCATTAAAGTAAAAATGACTCAACCAAGAGATGTTGCTCCAAACATAGTAAAAATAAATTTGACTTGGGCTACATTACGAGCGTACATTGACAAACAAAGGATCGCTATGCGTTGCATGAGACATTGTTATGTTTGTATGAGAAGATCTATGATATCTGTATTGTATCCTCTTGCAACTCACTAATGAAGATATTTTTGATGAAATGCCACAATTCCACTAAGGGATGCGTAATTGATATTTTTGTATTTGAATGTCATGTATTTTGGACGTCTCTGCATTAACGCATGAATTTTATTATGTATTTCGGTCAAAATTTACGAAATTTGACTCAGCAATAAATATAATATTCATTTGGTAGTGTACGTCCTTTGTTTTCTAAAAATAAAAGTTTATACACTTTACAGAATCAAAATTTAAAAGTATTATGCTTTCAAATATTATTTCACATTCAGATATATGATTTGTACTAGTTATATATAAAAAGCATATATTATACTATATTTATTGGTCTGAAAACGAATGAAAAAAAAAAGTTCCTTGTCTTTGAAGGATATTGGAGATGCAAATGCCAGACCAGACCTCCAATTGAATTACTTCACATGCTAGATTTTGGTCTTCAGAGATTCAGATTTATCAGGCTGCTTTAAGGTGCCGTTTGCCATTGTTTTACTCTTCGTAATGTATGTTTCATGCTGTCATTGGTTTCTTTCCAAACTATATCTTACGATTAATTATGCACTATGTAAACATGGTGTCAGCATCTTCTACGCTTGCGATTTAGTAAAACATTATAAAATGATTAAGGGAAATGGTGTTTGGTTTACCAAAGATATCTTAAATTAAAAATCGTGACTCCCAAACAAGGTCGCAAGAGTAAAGTTTCTACTTTCTAGGGAGTAGTTAATGGTGATTTAAGAGTCGAACGTTCATTTTAGTTAATTTACTTTGCAAGCTTGGTACAGCCGTTCTGCGCATCTTCCCCACAATTCCACAAAGCTTTTGTACAAGAATATATTCAGAAATTCCAATATGAAAATGACAAGGAATAGAATATACACAAGTCAATAACGTTATGATACAAACTTTTTGCATATTGCACCTTCTCTCATAATCAGAATATCAAAACAAGCAACCCTACTTTTATTCTGATCACGTCATTTTCTTAACTTCTTTATTTATTTTTGATTTTTTTGTTTCGAAAGAGGGGGGTTGAATATGGACTGGACTGCCTTCAGTTCTTTTGCAAACACAGGATGTCCCCAAAATTAGTAGTGGCTCAACGTACAACTGTACAACATAATGACAGCAACTCAAAGGAAGGAAGGAGTCCCATTGGAGACCTGAATTCTTGATAAAATTGGAAAGCAGGGATTTCAAGAAAATTCCTACCTCCGAGAGCCATTACTGCGGTTGTGTCTCACATACTACCTGTGTGTCTGCAATCGCGGTTATTTTCTTCTGCAGCTCTGGTTTATTGGCCCCTACAAGTTTGTCAATCTGCTGGCTGTCCTTGAGGAAAAAGAAAGTTGGAGTTGCTTTGATATCCCAGGATGAACTAAATTCCTGAACCCAATAAAAAAAAAAAAAAAAAAAAAAAAACAAACAAACAATGAACTTGAGCTGCCAAAACTTTCAGATTACTGTTGGAAAATAATCCAACAAAACATCAAACAAACACTCGTATCATATGAATGTTGGTATCAAGTAATTCAAGTCTTGTTCATTTATCTCCCAGACGCTGGGACTCCAGAAGAATTACTTAAATAGCCAGAGTTTCAATAGAGCAGACATAAAAAAACAGTGAAATCNAAAAAAAAAAAAAAAAGAAGAAAAGAAAGAAAGAACAAACAATGAACTTGACTGCCGAAACTTTCAGATTACTGTTGGAAAATAATCCAACAAAACATCAAACAAACACTCGTATCATATGAATGTTGGTATCATGTAACATTTATGTTCGTATCATATAACACATTCAAGTCTTGTTCATTTATCTCCGAGACGCTGGAACTCCACAAGAATAGACATAAAACAGTGAGACCTAAAGAGTTAGCTAGTCAGGGAAGCAGAAGGGGGTATACGATTGAACTCTGAAATTTCTCAATTGAAATTCTTGCTACTTACTGTAAGCTCATCAACATCGACTGTTAGAAACATCAGAGAAAGATATTTCTCAGACAGCTCACAGTAGAATGGGGCAATCATTCTACATGGACCACACCATGAAGCACTGAAATTCGCAATAACCTGCAAATATTTCACTTGCGTAAGAAAGGTCCNCAACATTTCACTTGGGTAAGAAAGGTCCAAAATGCTAGAAAACACTGCAGGCAAAATGCAAAAAGTAGAACAAGGCAAAAACAAAGACTATATGTGGAAACCTCTGCGCCTTTCTGTCTGTATCCTCTCCCTGCACATGTGAGCAAACCAGCGTGCTTGAGGGAGAGACCTTAATTTGGTACACAGAGTTTAAAAGTGCCTAATTTTTTTTATGTAACTGCGCCTTCTTTGAGAATTAAGTTACATGCATAGAGGTGTGAGTTTGCACTTGCGTCTGGACAAGACACAACTTCTTCCATTTTTTTATTTTTTAGCAAGTTTCAATGAATACTTAAGGATCAGTATGTGGATTCCAGAAGCATGTCCTACACATTGACACATCTGCAGCAACCAGCAGGGCAAGTAAATGGTAAACATGAAAAGCATACTCTCCATCTTGATGAAATAAAACATTCAAAATTTTCTTGTGACCAACATCATGTTACGCAGTCCTACCAAAATCGTTCATAAGAGTACTGAAAGCAAGATCCTCATGCTAATTATTTATTTTTCCCTCCACAAAATAAAACATAATACTCCCTCAGTCCCATTTTATGTGAAGATGTTCAACTGGATATGCAATTTAAGAAATTAAAGAAGACTTTTGACATGTAAGCCAAATTTTGCAAAGTACCAAAATTATCCTTTTAAATGTGTAGTGATCAGAGTTTTACATGTCTTTTCATTATTCTCTCCTTACAGAAAAATAAGCTCTTACATCACGTGGGTCCCAACAAGTCATTTCATTAAGGGTAAATGGGGATGCTTTAATTAATACTTAGTAATAGTTTCCAACAAGAGAAAGGTGTCATTTTTTTTGGGACAAACTAAAAGAGTAAAAAGGAAGTGTATTAAATAAAAGTGATTGCTTTTCAAGTTATTCTCCTAAAACTCCAATTCTTTTTTAATAAGGTTTATCCTCCTAAAACTTCAATTTAGCTTCGCATAGATGATCTCCCCATAACACGAAAAGAAATTGATGAATGGAAAGAAAAGTGCTGCACATAGAAATTTTAACTGTTATCTCAGGCCACGAAGTATAAATGACATATAACACATGTTCAAGATTGACATAAAATTTACCAAGCCAAACTTTAACATGCCTTTAGCAATTGATAGTTACCAAGTCTGTTCATGTAGACTAAGCAAGTAATGAGTTAGAAACCTAGCTAATAGAGTTGAATTGTCAACTCCATAAAGTAGGTTCATCAAATAAACAAGTGAAGGTTTTCAAATTCAACTCGAGCTTGAACAATATTAGAATATGCTTACCACATCTGAGAATCCCCCCCCCCCCCCAAACACCCAAAAAGAAATCCATCAAAGACCAACTGAATCTTTAAAGGGAGTTTAGTTCTAATACCTCAACCAAATACCCCTCCGTTCTCCTAAATAATCGACCTCAAACCCCCCAAAAGACAACCCCCTCTTTTCTTTCACTCTCAAAAAGGCAACTGTGAGTCAAAGAGAGGATTTAGAAACAACAAATTAGATCATTATCTCCTGTCAAGTCCTAACACAAACATTTATCAAAATGAGGGCAAAGTTGAAAGTTTAACAATGTCTGGCGCCAAACAGTAGCTGATATCAGGTTTTTAGTGGCCGAACATACATTTGGCTAGTGCACTTCGTATAATAAAGGGAATAGGTTGAAATTTACCGCTCTATTTTGTAATATTAGTCATATTTATCCTCCGTTATACTATGTGGCCAAATTTACCCTCACCGTTAACAAAGTTTTTAAAGATACCCTCAAACCTAACGGAATTTTCACCGGGTTATTTTATTTACCCGATTTCACTCCTTTTTTTTTTCTTTTTTTTTTTGAGATGGTAGCATATTGTATATTATAATAAAATCAGTACATAGGTTGTACTGAAACCATATTTACAAGTGAGTAGCCAAAAGAAAAAAAACTTGGACCTCAGGCCTAGCAAGATTCTAGGACATCTAGGATTGAAACAGTATCTTTTGCGTAGTTCTGTTTACACCAAAAGCAAAAAAGTAAAACACAATTAAGCTTGATCTTCTGCACAGAATTTCTTCTATCCTCAAAACATCTGGAATTCCTTTCTTTCCGGATTGTCCACCAAATACATGCTGGGATAGTTCTCCATCTATCTTTGTCTCTTGCTCCAGTTCCAGCTTCATCCCAACTGAAAAGTACTTCAGTAATCTTAATAGGCATTGTCCAAGCTATGCCCCTAAGATTAATAAAGATCTTCCATAACTGGTCAGTTATCTTGCAATATAAAAATAGATGGCTAACTGTCTCAGCATCTTCTCCACATAAGTGACATCTTGAGCACAATTGAATCCCTCTCTTTATAAGATTGTCTTGTGTCAGAACAGCCTCCTTTGCTAGTAACCAAGAAAAACATGCTACCTTATAGGGAATCTTGATTTTCCATATACACGTCCAAGGCCAGTTAATTAACATATAAACCCGTAACCCATAATATAAAATGGAATGACCCATTTTTCTAAATGTCTTAAGACATTTTATTTCATTTTGGAGAGAGACCGAAGTGCTATGTCTTAGGTTTTAATGCCTCTGTGATTTTGCTTCCAAAAATTTCTCTTCAAGGCTGCAAAGGCGCAATCTTTCTTCCTAAATTTCTCTGATTATGTTTATTTTAGTTGGTTTCTTGTAAGATTGTGTTCAATTTATGTCGTAGGGTTTTTGAGATAACTGGTTTAGAGTTTTCTGAGTTGTGTTTTCCTGTTAGGGTTTCGAGAATGTGCTAAAATTGTCAAATACGTGTTGATATGTATGTTTTGAGTTGTATATTGTGTGTTTTGGTTAATTTTGCTATTTCTATTTCTCTTATTGTTGTTTACGTTTGTTCCTTCTTTTAATGGGTCTTTTATCCGAATTTTTATGGAGAACTTCTCTTACTGATTTGGAAGAAACATTGCACAAGTTGTTTGAAAAGACATCGCACATTGGTCTTTCTCCAAAATGGAACAAAATGTCGTAAGACATTTAAAAAAATACGGGTCATGGGTTAAATGGGCTACGGGTTATAGGTTAATGAAGTGAAATCGGGTAAATAATCTCTGAAGAATGGGATGACACTTTCAGGAACATCAAGCAAATCCTCCTCCAACGACTAATCTCTGACCATGTTCCAGTGTCTTTACAATGTGGTTCTTGGGAGCACACCAAGTCATACGTCAAGTTTGATAACCGGTGGCTGAACACAGAAGGCTTCATAGATAGAATCAAAGAATGGTGGACATCTTTTGAATTTTCAGGGAGGCCAGATTTCATCTTAGCTTGTAAAATGAAAGCACTCAAAGGCAAGCTGAAGGAATGGAATAGAAGTTGCCAGGGGAATTTGGGATTGCAAAATACCAACATGCTAAATCAATTAGCAATGTTGGACTCTACTCTGGAATATAGAGCCCTAACAGAAGAGGAATCAGTAAAGAAGGCCTCTCTTCTCATGGAATATAAGGAACACCTGAAAAATGAAGAAATTGCATGGAGGCAAGGATCCAGAGCTCTTTGGCTTAAGAAGGGGGACAGGAATACAAGTTTCTTCCATAAAACTGCTAATGCACATAAGAGAAGCAATAACTTTGATCAGTTAGTTATCCAGGAATGAACAATTGTAGAGCCACAAAGAATCAAGGCTGAGATCATTGACTTTTACAAAGAGTTATATACAGAGAATGAAGAGTGGAGACCTGTGTGCAACTATGATATATGTCCTAAAATATCTGAAGAAGAAAAGGAGTTCTTACAAAGTAGCTTTGATGAACAAGAGGTGTTGAGGTGTTTGAAGATGTGTGCAGTGGACAAGGCTCCTGGACCTGATGGTTACACAATGAGTTTTTTTATCAAGTGCTAGGATGTATTGAAGTAGGACATTATGGAGGTTTTCCACAATTTTCACTCCCGCAAAATCTTTGAAAAACGTTTTAATGCATCATATATAGCCCTGATCCCCAAAAAGGTATGTGCAAAGGAACTGAGTGATTTCAGGCCTATAAGCTTGATAGGCAGTGTATATAAGCTAATTTCAAAAGTTTTGACAGAGAGGCTTAAAGGAGTGATGGAGAAATTGGTGGATTCACAACAGATGGCTTTCATCAAAGGAAGGCAAATAATGGATGTTGTTCTGATTGCCAATGAAGCTGTGGATTAAAGAACTAAACAGAAGAAACCAAGAATTCTATGTAAACTAGACATCGAAAAACCATATGATCATATAAACTGGAACTTCTTGTTAAATATGCTATGCCAAATGGGTTTTGGGGTAAAATGGATCAACTGGGTGAAATATTATATCTCCACTGTCAAGTTTTCAATCATCATAAATGGATCTCCTGAGGGTTTTTCCCCTGCCCATAGAGGTTTAAGGCAGGGTGATCCTTTATCTCTCTTTCTCTTCATAATAGTCATGGAAGGTCTGAATAACATGGTTAAAAAAGCAAAATGCAATGGATGGATCAAAGGGTTTGAGGCAGCTAGAAGTGGAAACAATAGTCCGGAAATCACACATCTTCAATATGCTGATGACACATTAATTTTTTTCGACGCAGAAAAGGAGCAGCTGAGGTTTCTAAGAGTTATTCTAGTACTGTTTGAAGAGATTTCAGGACTTCATGTTAATTGAAAAAAGAGCCATCTTTACCCAATAAATGAAGTACCTGATATGGAACAATTGGCACTAATCTTGGGAGGTGAAGTAAAAACTCTACCTACTGTCTATCTTGGCATGCCTTTGGGTGCCAAATCTAAATCCAACAAGAGATGGAACAATGTTATTGAAAAGTGTGAGAAGAAGTTGTCCAGATGGAAATTCCAGTACCTATCAATGGGAGGAAGACTCACCCTCATCAACTCAGTTTTAGATGCACTCCCAACATATATGATGCCACTCTTCCCTATTCCTGCAGGAGTCATACAGAGATTGGACAAACTAAGAAGAACCTTTTTGTGGCAAGGGAACAGAGAAGGGTTTTTCACTTAGTCAAGTGAAAATCCCTTATAGTTGGCAGAGCTCATGGTGGACTAGGCATCAGGAATTTGAAGGATCATAGCAAAGCTCTCAAGATGAAATGGCTATGGAGGTATTCTCAAGAACCCCAAACCTTATGGGGTAATGTGATCAAAGCCAAATATGGTGAGAAAGACAAGTGGATAACAAAGGAAGTAAATACAGCATATGGAGTTAGCTTATGGAGATCCATCAGGTCACTCTGGCCTATTCTAAAGAACCACTCATCCATCAAACTGCAAGATGGCAATAAAACCTCCTTCTAGAAAGATAACTGGTTGGGAGATGGATGCTTAAAGGACCTCTACCCTGATATGTATGTTCTGGCACAACATCAACACAACACAGTAGCTGAAATGTGGTCCCCACAAGGATGGACACTTGGTTTTAGAAGAAGTTTGAATGATTGGGAGGTGGCCAGAATGACTGACTTCTACAAACATATGGAAAGATTCATAAGTTTACGGAGTGGGGTGGACACAATAAGGTGCCGGGAAAATAATAGTGGCATCTATAAGGTGAATACAGCATACAAGATCCTGAATCAAGCTAACCAGCAGATTAATAACTAACCTTGGAAGCATATATGGAAAATCAAGATTCCCAATAAGGTAGCATGTTTTTGCTGGTTACTAGCAAAGGAGGTTGTTCTGACACAAGACAATCTTATAAAGAGAGGGATTCAATTGTGCTCAAAATGTCACTTATGTGGAGAAGATGTTGAGACAGTTAGCCATCTATTTTTACATTGCAAGATAACTGACCAGTTATGGAAGATCTTTATTAATCTCAGGGGCATAGCTTGGACAATGCCTAGTAAGATTACTGAAGTTCTTTTCAGTTGGGATGAAACTGGAACTGGAGCAAGAGACAGAGATAGATGGAGAACTATCCCAGCATGTATTTGGTGGACAATTTGGAAAGAAAGGAATTCCAGATGTTTCGAGGATAGAGGAAATTTTGTGCAGAAGATCAAGCTTAATTGTGTTTTTCTTTTTTGCTTTTGGTGTAAACAGATCTACGCAGAAGATGATGTTTCAATCCTAGATGTCCTAGAATCTTGTTAGGCCTGAGGTCCAAGTTTTTTTCTTTTGGCTACTCACTTGTAAATATGGTTTCAGTACAGCCTATGTATTGATTTTATTATAATATACAATATGTTACCATCTCAAAAAAAAATAACCCAGTGGGAATCCGTTAGGTAGTTCTTAAAACTTTGTTAACGGTGAGGGTATATATGGCCACAGACAAATATTTCAAAAGGGGTAAATTTGGCCCTTTTCCCTATAATAAATGCTCTATTTGGGCCCATAATTGTTTTATTCCTCAATCAAGTGCCAAAGGCTTGACTCTATCACAAACGCAAGAACATATTTCCAGTAACTGACTGCATAAAAATTTAGGTTTCTTCAACTTCTGGAATAATCTCCATTTAATAAAAATTACTCTNGACACATTTCCACCAGCAAACTTGACATTATGGGATGAATCACCATCATTGTTTGTGGACCGTGACTTGAAACAAGAGAAAAGGCTATGTACCTGGAAAAAGAATTTAATACTCCAACATAAGAACTCTTTCCATACTAATGAATTACTCTCAAATTGGGTTGACAGGGGTTTCAATCTATTGATTAACAAGGACATAGTGACATATAGATAACATATGGAACAATCTGCAAGTAAGATTTTCTAGGCTGCAACCAAGAGTTTTCCTCCTCCTATGTTTTTTGTGTATTATATGTTGGTGGGCTTCATTATTTTATACCAAAAGGTCTAGCTTTCCGCTTCTCATCAATCTAAGTTGCTCGATTGCCCTGGGTATTAGATGTTTGATTTATTAAATTCCCAAAACACCATATTTTCTAATTATGCAGCAATATTTTTTTTATAAATAAATTGGTTTTTCCATCAAAGGACATCAGCCTCATTATGCAACTCTATTTCAGATAAGTCCCAGTTAACAGAACACAATTAAGTGCAATATTGAAGTTTCTATTATCTGAAAAGTTTGGATAGTGTAGCTGGGAGAGACTAAATCCAAAGGAAAACAAAATGGATAGTCAACTTACTAGACGAACTCATGGAAGAAGATCGAGACAATCGTTCAAAGTCAAGAAACATGTGATGATAAACAATGGAATCCATCAGTATATGCTACATTACTTTTTTGTTTAAA